GACCACCATTTTCTCCAAGCTGAGCAGCAGGTTAGTACCTTGTCCTGGGTCCTTGCGAGGGCATTAAATCCCATATCAATAAATGCTCCTTTGTCTCACTTTATAGTGTCTCCCTGTGACCCAGCACCCCCAGAATTCAGTCCCATAATTCTCCCAGTTTCTGCAGGTGCATGCTGGCTTGGTCCTAGAGCTCCCGCAGGATCTAGTTCTTTTCTTCTCTCAGCAGGCCCAAGTACTTCTGCAGCCAGGTTCTACTGTGAGTGAACCTTAGCTAACTGGTCTGATGGCAGGGAGAGAGGGTGGGGGGCATGCGTGTGTTTGCAAGGGAGAGCCCTCTACATCATCCTCAAGCAAAGGAGTGGGCCACTTAGGCAGGCCAGGAGGGTTCGCTGGAATCTGGGGATTCAAGGATTGTTCAATTGCATCAGCCCAGATAGCCCCATCCATCTCAATCGGGGCTCTGACCTTGGAGTGGCAAACCTTTGGAGCCTAACTCTTCAGCCTCCTCTGGAACTCTGCTTCACAAAACAAGTCCTGGGCCTAATCCTCAGTTTATGTTCAGTTGCAGGAGATGAGGCTCTCCCTTGATGCTGCCAAGCAGTCTCTCTGGCTTTCACATTTAATCCTTAATTGGGGATTAATCACCCTCAGCTTTTCATCATCTTTTTTCAGTGTGCCCAGCAACAGCCATCCAAGTCCATTATCCTTATAATTTCTATTTTCCTTTACTTCTCAAACACATGCCACACTGCACCCCCCAGTGCGTCCCCTTCCATCAGAATGCCAGCCTAATTCACCATCCATGAAAGTTTTAACACTTGCATGGCCCCAGCATGTCAGAGGCTATCCATGATCACCAATCACCAGTGATGGGATCCTCATTGCCAGTAGCTCAGCGGGTGACCCAGCTCTCAAATTCCCAAATCTCAAATCTCAGGCCATGCTTGGTACCAACTGCCATAGACTGGGTTCTCTGGGTTGGAGACTATGAGATAGAGACCTGCATAGAGGAAATTTATGGAGCAGTGTTGTCAGGATCAACACTGTAGTGGAGTGAAGGAAACAGGACTGGGCAGAGGGAGAAGCTGGACTGCAGCGTAGTTCATAAAAGCTTCAGCCAATCCCAAGGGGCATCCTGGATCTGGGATGGCCCTCCGAAGTTGTTCTCAAACAGCTAGGGCCTGGGCCTTTATACCTCCTCCCTGACTCAGCATTGGATGTGGCTGCACCCAGGAGAGGGAGCATCACCTTGGAGCTCTCTGGCTGTGAGGCAATGTCCAGGGAAGGACTCAGCACAGAGCTATTAGACACCAACACTCCCAGCAACCGGGGGAATAAATGCTCCAGTCCTAGAGTGGGAATTGGAGCAGTGGGAATCCAGGCAGTGCGCATGGCAGGCATCCAACACACCATGCTATCTACGTACCAGAATATCGGGTAAGAGGATGTATAAAATTTTTAAAGCATAAATAACAACAACAAAATGAAATCTGGAAAACTAATGAAAGTCAAAGAAATATTTTATTAGGGTTTTTGCCCTAAATTTCTTTTTAAGGGTTTTTGACTTCAAGATCTCTGGTGCCTTTTGGCCCAAGAGTCTTGTCTTTTGTAGTTGTATTAAGTGAAGAGCCGTCTATATTGTCGGTAGTGCCCACCAAATGCCTCATAAGTTGTAGGTTTGAAGTAGTTTATGTAAGTTCAGATCACATAATTTAGACTTCCATAAATTCCTACCTCATTACCTTCCCTCTATCTTCCTAATTAATTTGTTTATTCTTCAAGGCCCAGACCAAATGCTTCCTCTCTCTGAAACCTAACTTGACACTCCCCCACCAGAGTTAATCACTCCTTTTATTCTCACAGCTCTTGCCCATCTCTGTTTTTAGCACTTATTCCATAGTGCTATGGTCCTTTGCTAGATTGTGAGCTCATCAGTGAGAGGAAAACAGAATACAGAACGTATGCTTGGCATATACTAAGATTCAATAAATGCTTGCAGACTGAATAAAAATGTTGCATTGTGGTATCTTTAAATTATTCATAAATTTTCACTAAAACTTAAAATGCTACTGAGTGGGCCAAGTTTTAGACAATACATTTCACATTTGAGTAAACTGAAGTGTTAAGTGATTTTGACAATTGTCGAAACAAGAAATGTTGACTGCAGAATCTACATATTTAGTTTCTTTGCTTTGGTGATTTCATTAAACCTACCCTGTAATACTTTGTCCAGAGTTTTGTTCAATCCTGATAAATGCATATTTTTAAGATACTCATTTAAATAATTCAGTCATCCCTGATGCTAATATGAGTCCTAAATTTAATGTGGTAAACTAGTTTCTTTTGGAAGAATCAGTCATAACTTCAATACCTATAATCAACCAGTCCCATCCACTGGCATATATTTTGGCATTTCCTCAGTGTCTAGAAATTTTGGTGAGAAACAAGATGGTAACACATTGCAACACGGCAAAGAGCCTCGTGAATGCAGGTAGACCTACAGACACTTCCTTTTAGGTAAGATGTCCAGACATATTATTGGAGTCTAGATAGAGATAAAAACACAACACAGTACAAAAACCCAATGTTTTCCAAAGAACACAAGTAATTTACAATCTCATTTATCCATGCTCAATAAGGACTTCTAAATGTCTACTAAAATATTAGCTCACATTTATCGAGAGCCTTTTACTATGTGCTGCTCTTGCAAACATTTTACAGGCATAATCTCACGGATTTAAGAAATGCAATGCATATTTACTTGATATCTACTACAAATCAGGCATGTGCTAGATTCCTGACCTTCTCTGGGAAATTTCAGAATTATCGAGGAGTCTTGGCTGGCTGTGTTCTCCTTTTGAAACAAACAAAACTAAAAATCTCCAGCCAGATCTATCTTCTCAGAATAGAGTGGCATTTGTTGTTCTTGTTGTTGGGGAAGATTCACCCTGAGCTAACATCTGTGCCAGTCTTCTTCCACTTTGTATTGTGGGTCACCGCCATAGCATGGCTGGCTAGTGGTGTAGGTCTGCGCCTGGGATCCGAACCCACAAACCTGGGCCGCAGAGGTGGAGCATGCGAACCCAACCACTACACCACAGGGCCGGCCCCTTTCTTTTTAATGAGAAAGAAGGTACATAAATTAAGGCTATATTTTCACTGTTATTTTAATCACCAAATAATTAGGGTATGTTTACAACAGGCCTGCTATTACGCGTCCATGAGCAAACAGAGGGTTACTTCAGATACTTCAGAGTACTCAGGATTCTCTTGTCCTTCTGAGCTTGGCTGGAAGGTATGGGCACCATTTGACTTCTTCATTTTCTTATCTGTAGGAAAAAGAAGAATCTATATCCATTTGATGGAGGTATCTGTCCACAGAATGAATGGATCTAATCTTGCTGGTCTACTTCCTAGAGAGGCATACGCCTCTCACTTAGAAGAGAACTAATTAGAATACTTTTAAAAGTAATTTGCTTGAAGGGACTTGGGAAACTAGAGACAATTCAAGTTCCAAAGGTACAAGAACTCTTTTCTCATGCATATGATTGGACCAAATGTGAAGGAGGATCTATGATTTACGATGTCATCACAGCAGGATCAAGACGAATCAAAAAACAAGATTCTGAGATGTCAGCACAAAATGATGTAACCACTCAAAAAACAATTCACGTCCAAGAAAAAATGAACAGAAACAAGAAGTCTAGCCACTTCTTTAGGCATTCAATATTCATGGTGCTGCTCCTATAAAATTTAAAGTTTGATTAAAGCGAGACGATAATCTCAAAGCACACAATGGTGAGCTCGGTTCATTTAAACGACAATTACAAGCACAAACCTCTCTGTAGTATTTTTTAGCTTGTAAACAGCCAGAAGAACTGAACATCTAATTTTTGAAATTCTTCTGGCTTTTCTTTTTGACCTTTGGTATTTGTATGTATTGACGATCTCTAAACCATTGTACAAAAACACCTTGAAGTGTCAAGCTTTAAAAATGAGTCTTCTTTTCTCTTTCTCTTGTGCAGCTTGGATTATCTTGGCCTTGTCAAGATACATTCTCTAGTTAGAGGCTGGAAATATTTCCCTCCTGGCTCCAAAGTATTGATTTTGTTCAACACTCAGCTCTGTCAGTCAGCCGAAGGGGTGAAAGGTGAAAGTTCACCCAGCACTGCTTGGCTTTACCTTCCTATTAATGTCATGCCCTTTCCACATTTGATCAGTTTATGCGATCACCAATCATATAGAACTGTTACTGCCCCTATTTTCCCTATAAAGGATACATTTAAGTCATTGGGAGATGTTAAAACAATTCCTGGGATGGATACTGGGCATCTGAATAGGGCCAAGGATGCTGCAGCCAATTCCTTGAATGGTTATCTATTTCCTAAAGAAAATTATACTGTTACTTGACGACTGATTCAATTCCAGTTGTTCTATATTCTTATTTGAAAATTAAAATACATTCACTACTTACACATATAACCTTCTGTGAACAATGATGACCTATTTTGTTACTTTTGCTTTTTCTGAAAACCAATCACACCATTTACCTCAGGGATTTGAATTCAACTCCAAACTGAGTATTAAGTGAAATGACTTTAATGATCTCAGCCCAACCTCCCACCTTGGGCAGCCAACCTATGTCATCAAATCTGACAAGATATAATTTGGTACAATTAATAATCCATTTAGGGTGAAGATAAAGCAACATGCATGCAATTCCCTTGCCCAAACCACAGAGGGTGCTGTTGAGTTTCTGGTAGGAGTGTTTCTCTGGTTCACACTTGCACTTTGTTGGAAAAGGACTTCCTTCTCTACTGTTCTATTGTCCTCTGTGAACAAGTTTCACTTTCATGCAGCTAGCTCTCCAGGGAAATGAATAATTAGATGGAAATAGAAGGCTTAATTTGGTTCCAAAGAGAGGTGGGGGAGAAAGCATATGGATTTCAGCTGAGAATGTTTAAGAAGAGTGAACAATGTTTTTAATGAGAAAAACAATCTTCAGTACAATTCAGTTTTATTTAACACACATATGTACACAGGGACATTCAGCACGTATAGAATCTATTGGTGCAGTCATCAAGAAATGTCTTGAGAGGCAGACATTTTAATTCACTTGCTGTACACAGAGTTCAATCATTACATTTTCATACAGGTGTCACGCCATGTCATCTTTTGCTTGCAAATTACCAATGAAACCACATATGTCTCTACATTTACAAGGACAGGTCCAAATACACTGCCAATGAAATCAGTAAAACAGTAAAAGCGTACACTGGGATGACAATACAAAGTTTACCTTAGTGCTGAGAAATCTAAGCTGTGATGAAGTTTGGGACGGTGGTTGTCCAAAATAGCCAAGGAGAGATTTGTGTTGACAAGAATGCAAATATTAGTCTAGCAGTTAGAGGTATCTGTCTAACTATCAAATATCATCCACCCCAGAGTTTACAATCATAATATTCTATTGGCCAATTAATTTTGGCTGCCTATGCAGACAGAATGTGTCACAGGCTGGCCTATGCCCAGTGCCCAGGGATTCTGCTCCTTCAGGCCTCACAGCTTTGTCCTAAGTCTGTGTGCTGAGCGCCATCCATGCATTTGTGGTGGCCTGCCTCCCGGTCTCACAGCTTCCTCCTGATGCATTGAACATTTTGTTTTAAAAAATCTCTAAGGTCTACTTTTACTTCATCATTCCAAAACAGCCTATAGAATAAATTAACCCCCATTTAAGTTCACAAAGTAAACATGTGCTGGGTATCCAGAAGACGTGGGAGCCCACTGGAAAAACCGACGACACCTTTGGTTTACCTCAGGTTTCTCTAGCTGCATCAAACACAACAGCATGTTCACCAAACAAATAAGTCTACACTGTATAGTTGTTTCTTCCTTGCAAACTACATATATAATCTTTATAAATACAATGTACATGCATGTGGCATAAATTCACTTTTGAAAGAACACCCAAAGTCTAAAACCAAGGAATAGTACAGGTGTGCCATCAACGGAAAGAACATACTTCATATCAATATGAAAGGGACATTCTATTGGTCTTAATTTCTTAACATTTTCTTTAAAAATCTGTTTCAATAAAATAACAGATGTATTTGTTCCTGGCCTGTGATCCTACTTTTTTGTATATTACATAAACTCTGACAATCTATGCCTTTTAAATTAAATGCTCCCATTATCATTTTGGTTCCTCTGTAAATTCTACATATTTTCTCTGAATTTAATAAATAATTTTCTATTTTTGCATTTAATAAACAATATTTGCCCAACTAACCAACCAATCAACAATCAACCAACCAACTAACCAACCAAATCCCCAACTATCCACAGATCAAGGTTTGTTAGGAGCAATTTATACAAAATATTGTTTGATGATATTTTTTCCATTACTATGAGCAAGAACTGGCATAATTTGACAAAAGGAGAAGAAAGCAACCTACTTAAAGCTTGCTTTGAAGCGTGGGCAACACCCTCACTGCAGCGTTTGGTCAGACTGACTGAGAGCCTTCACGTGTTTATAGACACTCCTGGATGCTTGTGCCGTAGTTACTGACTTTCTAGGATATTTGTTTAAAAGAAATCCTGTCTTAGTTTTAGTTTTTCTTTAATTGATCAGGAGTAGTTTGAAGGCTGAATTATAATTACTACATGATAACTGGCACAGTTCGTACACAGGGCAACTGCAGGTCCATGAAGTCTCTGGAAGGAAGGGGTAAACTCTTTCTTAAAAAGATCTGTAGCAACAGACACAAGAGTTTTCTTTTTAGGTATATGCTATACTTTCAAACTTGGTTCTTTGTTACAAAAGTCCATTTAAGAGATTAGTTATAGCGGCTGGATAATTATATTAACTAGATCCTAACAGTGATGATTTCTATTTCAAACTACTAAATACACTATCACTTAGCAGGATATGAGCATTTTAGAAGATTAGGTGTCTGGGAAACTGTATTCTCCATGAGGAAAAATTTTTTTTGTATATTTCTCAAATATTAATCTCAAATTGGTTAGGTATTAATAAAGAAGGTAGCAGCTAAGTCCTACGAAATTGGATTGAGTAATTTGCTAGCAATTACCAGAAGAAAAAACCCAAGTATACACAGAATCTTTTTGGTAAACAATAGCATGTTTTAGGAAATCAAAGGAAAATAATTTTGATGACTAGGACTGCCACATTACCTCAGAACTCAACGTCAAAACCACCAGGTTCAGGCAGCACTTCGGGGGGGGGGGGGTGTTTAGCTTGAAGAAAATGCTGATCTGGGCTGAGAGTGCAATCACAGTGTTTATTGATTTTCGGGCTCCTAGTGCACCAAGCAACAGGAGCGTTCCCAGGACCGCTGGCTTCCCCTCCCTCTCCAGCTGGGAAAAATGACCTAGTGACAGAACGGCCACATCCTGCAGAGCGATGTGTGCTTGCCTCTGAATCAATAGGTGGCACGAGCAGGAATCTGTCCCCAAGAACCATGCAGAGGTGACACAGACCCGGCCGCACCCCTGGATGACACTGGTGCGGGCAGGCACTGGGGAATGATCCAGTGAGAGCAAGGACAGAGGAATCTCGGCCTAGAGGATTGAAAGAACTAAGCAGCAGTCAAGGCAGCAGACAGCAGCATTAGACCATGAAGCGGTGCTCCCTCCCGTCGTGGGCCATGAGGATGACGTTGCGGTTGGAAGTCCAGATGAGCCGGGCCAGTCTGAGCGCGTTGTGCGAGCCAGGGGAAGCCGGCTGCACGGGGGGCACCTGGTAGGTTTTAATACAGCGCAGCTGAGGTGCCGAGTTCAGCATGCCGATGCTTCCCAACAGTGAGGTATTCATCTGGAGGGACACAGGGACATGAGAGCACACGTGTCATTTAAAGAATCATTTCCCTATCCCCACCACAGAGTGGTTCAAGTGACACACACTTCGGGCCACTTTTCCTCCACAATGCTTATTCATGTTCATCTGAGAGTTTATTCTTCCCTTCTAAAGGGCTCCTTTCAGTGTATTTGAAATTGTTCTGATGCTGTTATAGTAAATGCATAAATCCAGAGAAACTTCACTTTGTGGCTAGAACTTGACAGCAGGAAAAGTCCATCCGTCTTTAAGAAGGGGGTTGAATTACACATGCTAATAAAAGGGTTCAATCAGATATTTGGAGATTGCGCGTATTTCAAACCGCAGACCCTTTTGTTCTTTAACAACAGTGCTAACTGTACCCTCGAAGGATGAGTGCGCGAAGTCAAGTTTTGGGACTTATAGTTAAAGAAAATGAAGCAAAGTCAAGCAGTCAACAGCGTGACAGGCTACAGGGCCAAAGATCAAAACCTAACCCCTCCCCATCCCCACGGACCAACACCTTCCCTCCTCACCTGCTGTTCTTTTTTTTTAAAGCTCTAGTTTATTTTGAAGGGAAAAGCCAAAATCAGCTTGCATCTCAACACAGTATGCGTGGCTCACTGTTTTGCTACCATGCTAAAGAGAGTATACAACACTACTGGCAATACGTTTTTATGAGCTGGTGATTTCTACTTTTTTGGTGGCTTTCCTGAATTTGATTTGAATTTTAAGTTCTCTTAATTCATTCCCATAAATGAAAAAAGACATGGAAATTATGGCTCATGAACAACTAGGCATTCAGGTCAAAGTGCTAAACACTGAACGGCCGTAATCTCAGTGAACTCGTATCTCAGCAACAGAGTCTGAAGACTCTTTACGTTCGAAATATTACTTAACATTTGTTTCAATATACATCTTTTGTGCTATTGCAAATCACATGGAAAGCACACTAAAAATCAAGAAAGAGGCCTCAGAAATAATATTTTTCTTTGCACTAATTTTCATTTCCAATTCTTCTCCCCAGTAACACCTCCGTCTAAATGTGTAACATTCTGGGGATTGGTGTGAAGCATGCAGATTAGGATCCAATGTATACGAATGGTTGACAGTGGAAACCCTGGCAAATCCTAGGACGTTTAAGATGTGCTATTGCTGATATCATGCTCTGCATTTGGATCAGGGCAAAATACAAGCCATTCCTTTCTCTGGCCCTTCTCAGCAGCAGGATGGTGTCAGAGGGCGTAAATCATAGCATCTCTAGCAGGATGCGTGCAGGCTCCACTGACATTTTCACAATTTAAATCATCTTGAGTAATAACCCTTTTAAGATGACTAATGTTACTGATTTTCCTGCATTAATAATAGTGCCGAACACAACACAGAGGTGAAAAAAAATCACTAGTGTACGAGGTCACATTTTAAAACCAAATGTATGGTTATCATTAACTCTTTCTGTTAAAGTTCAGATCACATTTAAAGCCAGGCAGTGCCTTACTATCATCTTCCAAGAGCCTCTTTCCTTGCTTCCTTCTCTTCTTTTTCCAGAAACTCCATAAGAGACAAAAATCAATGCCTTATTGCTTTCTGGAGGCTCCCAAACAGTTTAAATATAAATAATGATGGTAAGCTTGATTTGATAGTTCTCTTGTACAAAAAGTAACAGTACATAATAATTTAGTCTTCTTACAGCACAGATCTAAATGATCCAGAAAATTGCTGGTTAAAATTAATGGGCATCAACAGGCATCCTGTGCTTTTAAAAAATCTAATTTTCTCAGTTGATAAATAACTACAAAGTATCTTTCATTCTCTATGGATTTTCTATGGAAATGTGTATGAAGCTTGATTTCTGCTGGTGGCTCAAAATGCTAGGGGTATCCAACATGTTCAGACACTTCCTTATTTTCAATTCTTTCCTTCAAATTTAGCCATGTACAAGAAATGGGTTGAGGACTAAAGAGGGAATATCTTATTGAATGCTACAGATGGAGAGATTTTGAAAAGTCCATTATTATAAGCTGGGTGCCCCTTACAAGCTGAGCCATCCCTCTGATGATTGATAAATCATTTGACAAATTGATTGATAAATGCCTTTAGTAGGGTCAAACAGTCTTCCTGCCCCAGAAAAGGGCTACGTGAAAGTCTGTATGGTATATAACTATTACAGCTGCACACAGACGGAACGATGAAGACCTTCATACTAACTATTATTTGTTGCTTCTCAGACCATCCTTTCCCTGTGACCTCTTCAAATTAGAGATGAATCTGAGGCAGTAAGGGTGAGTATTAATTTTTCCAACATGCTTAAAGAACGCTCATTGAAACAATTAATCATTTTGTTATTCAATGTTTTCTTGACCAGTGACTGGCTAGAAACTATGCTAAAGTAAGGGGAATTCGAGTCTTAAATGAATGAAAACTAGCTGGAATTTTAATATTTGGTAACATTAATGTTTTTCTCAATTACAAATATAAGAAATACTCATTTTGGCAAATTCAAATAATAAAAGAAGTATAAAAAAGAAAGAAAATCCCAAGAGCTCACTTCCCAGAGCCAATCACTAACATTTTGTAATCTTTCCAGACCTCCAAGTCTGTATATACGCGAGGAGAAGCAGTTTTAAGGGATTTTACATAAACAGGCTCATTTCAAAGGTAGTTTCACAATCTGCTTTTTTTCATTCAATAAAATGTTGAGGGCAATCTTTTTATGTTAACAATTATATATTTACATCATCCTTTTTAAATGACTGAATAGTATTGTATGATGGAATAAATAAAAATAAATGAAATCAATATCCACCTAATTTATTATTAGCATTTCTAAAAGAGGACACATTTGTTGGAAGGTAGTGGTAAAATTTAAGTGAGAGAATTATGGTTGTATTCCATTATTAAACTCTCCTTGTTCAAATACCAATGGAGACACTGAAGTGAAATATTCAAATTGTAGGAAAATGCTGTTGGAGTCTCAAAGGGCTTGAAAGGTTGCCAAGTATATCATTCAATAGCCGAGTACATAAACTAACTAAAATGCAACTATGGCTTCTCCTTTTCCTTTAAAAATAATGCTTCACGAAACAAGTCTGTGAAAATTATTTTCTGAACACATACAGACGTAATTCATCAAAACAGGAAGTGTTTTAATGCTATTCTCAGTGTAAGTAATGCTGCACACAAACCTTTTACTAAGTCTCACTTGAGTAATTATTCAACCAATATTTCTCATTAACACTCATTTCTCAGCACAGATTTTAATAGCTGATAGCTGTTGTAAGGTTCTGTATTAATAAGACTTCATTAAGTTTTCAAAATATATTATAGTACATTTACTGGAATAATACAAAAGTATTATCATACATCATTAGAACTAAACAAAATGTATCTAAATAAATCAGCAAAGCCCATTTGAAGAGAGCAGTACAGCCAACACTGCTTTTTGGACTCTCTTTAATTCAAATAAAAACCGCTATACTTCTGGAAGAGGTTTTATTATATTTTCTTGATGAGGCTGAAACAATGTTTCTGTGCCTTCCATGTAAATTTAAAGACCACGCTAGGTATAACTGAGGCAAGTAAGAAATGGGCTGCGTTTCAGATTCTGACACTGGGCTTACAGGCAGGAAAGACTTGGGAGTTGCCTGAGTTGCTCTGGTGCTCTGTCTGCTGAATACCCACATGTGCAAATAACACAAGGCAGCCCCTGGAGAAGATGAGCGTGTGGATGGACTAAGGGAGTGTGCCGTGGCTCCACTGCGTGCAAAGCAACAAGTAATGGCCATGGGTGTAAGTGTCCTTGGCAGAGCCCAGAGACAACAGCAGGAGCCTGAGAGGAGAACTGGGAGACGAAAGGTATTTCAAAATGATATCATCTAATGAACGACCTTGATCTCTGGGGTACGAAAGATGCTAACCATAATTCCATCAATGAGCTGAGCAGAAACTCTGATAAAAACAGAAAAATATTCAAGGAAGGAATGAACATATTCAAATAGAATCCTGAAGATCGAGATTAGGGGAAAAGGCTTGCCACTTAGAAATTCAGGAAAATACTGGAAAGTTTCAAATCTGGCTAATTTAGGAGGTATTCCTTTATATAAGGAATTACATTTTCTTAGCAGGAAAAAAGTTGAACAAAAAAGAGATTTGTTTTCGTTTATTCCAAAGAAGAAAACATGGACAGAACACAAGCTCCCTGAAAGCAGGGACCCCCACTTGCTGACTTCGTCTCCCCAGAGCACAGGTTGGTACCTCGCACTTCAACACCAAACACACGCTGAATGCTTGGAGCTTTCCATGAGCACTCCTTTGGGATTTCAAGTGAAGAGTAAATCGGGAAAACTGGTGTCAAAGTACAGTTGGTGTAGCAGAGACCACTGTGTTAGGCATTCCACTGTTAGCAGAACAAACAGTTGGTAGGGAGTCTCTTTAAAGAGCCGTTGCTGCAAGAGTCCAGTTTATAGCCACCCAACGGACTCACTGTGGGACTTCAGCAGTAAAATCACAAGTCCTGTGGCTACCTCCCAGGAAAAATGAAGACTGGGTGAGATCTCTAAGGAAAAGAGTTTAATCTGAGCTAATTAAGATGCTGGAGATACATTCTGGAAGAAAGGATAATGAGAAAATACACTGGAAAACTAAATTAGATGAAAAGCAGAAAAAGTCTGTGACAGATTTGGAAATTGTCATGCTTTAATAGCATGTTGTTAATTAAACAATTCATTGTATCTGTTTTACATTTTATTAGCTATTGATTTTTTAAAAACCAGCATCAAGCTGTGCCGAAGTCTCGTTTAAACTTGTATTTGTTTTTTTTTTAGCTTTCCAAGCAATAAACTGATTCTCATAAAACATACTTGCATCCTAGGAAAGTAAAGGTAACAACAAAATTTTAAATTAACTTTTTTGGGGGGGAGCTGGTAATGTATAATTTTTTTGTAATTATGAGGAGAAAGGTAATTAAAAAGAAGATGGGACGGAGATTAATCACTGAGGATGAAACAAGTTCTAGTGAAAAAATTAGTTGCTTAAAGTTAATATTCATTTTCACCAGAATTAAACATAGGCACTCTCATGAACTGCCAGTCAATGATACTCAGAGTTTTAAAAATGTTTTGAGAGTTTAGGAATGAGACTATTATGTGGAAAATTCAGAATGCAAACAAAAATGAGATCATATAAACAGGACATGAAGTTAACACGAGGCTGCTTTTTCTCCTTATGCCCTATGCCCTGTTAGAGTTGTCTGAATGCCTTGTGTCAATTAGCAGCCTGAACAGTGCTTCCTCTAATTCCCAATTCCGTTCAGGCCAGGCCTTCAGCACACCATGCCCCTGCTTGCCTCTGAATGGCTGTTCCCCCTCCCTAAACACCCACTGCTCCCCACTAGTTACACGGGCCCTTCCTCAGCAGCATCACGTCTCAGCTCAGACATCACTTTCTCTGTGAAGCCATCCCACCACATTACCCTCAGGCTCCTCTCTGTATTGTAATTGCTTACTTATCTACCTGTGTCTGCCTCAGACCTGAAAGCTCTGTGAGAACCGACCCCCTCTTCCCAGACTGCTAATTACATCCTCAGTGTACCCTGCAAGCTAGCATCCGGCACATAATCAGCAAGCAATAAATACTTGATATCTGTTGAAAGAAGGGAGGGAGGGCAGGAGAGAGGGCTGGCGGGTAAGCTCAACAGGAAGCCTTTCCTAGCAAAAGCAGATCATGCAGTATACGCCAAAACCCCGCAGCATCTACGCTTACCTGCCAGAAAGAAATGTGGCTGTCAGTGTTTGAGTAGGTGGCAAGATATCGTCCATCAGGAGCAAAGGCCACTGCAGTGATTGGTCCCTTGTGTCCATGGATTGTCTAAAATAAAATGCAGAGTCATAAATTGTACACATTACACAGAACTATTACATGTACACATGCAAATGCATTCAGTGTTGAACAAGTTGTGATATGGATATTAGATACCATTATACTCTTTATTTTATTTATAAAATCAGGTTAGAAAAACAGGAAAGGCAACCAAAGTTGTTTCACTGATGTATGCAGGGGCTTTGATCTTATTCTGAGGAGTCTACCTGTCTTGTAGTTGAGAGGGCAGCATGAGTCCAAAGGAAAGGCATATATTAATAGGCAAACCAATGTGTGAATTCATTTATGTCCATTAGAGGGGATAATTTTACAATTAATTAGGAAGGTAAGAAACTGATCACCAATCTACCCAGGAATGTCACTCATCTGAAATGAAAAACAATCAAAGCTGTATCATGACATCCCTGTTCTGGAAAGAGTTAAACACTATAATTTCAACTCCTTCATATTAAACATTTTTCATGTTTTATGCTTCATTTTCCACCAATAACACTGTGTTTAAATGCATATGGCTGCAACTAGTAAAAATACATACGCACATATGTTGGAGGTTTGAGCCACATATAAATCAAATACTATTAAAAACAAGTTAACAGGGATAATTTTGAACCTTTGCCAAATAGCTATCATTGATTTAACCATGAATTAAAAAAAAAAAGGAAGTATTTTAGACTAGGTCTTTGATAAAAGGTCTTTACTAATAAAAAATTACACTTAAGTTTAATGATACTAATAGTTATCGAAAACATGGGGATACTAAGCAAATTAGCATAATATTGTATTAACGTCCCTACACTCAACTATTAAAGACCATACCTCTACTACATTAACCAATATGCAGTCTGCTTGCAAGCTGTGGGCGGTCTCCTCCCTCTGTCTAGAAAGAAATGGGGGAATGTGTTCCCTTAAACTAAGACAATACCAGGAAGGTTTGTTTCCATCTGCTACTTTTTGATGAAGAATTGTAAACCTTGAATCTTGCTGGGAGCATCAGGCTCATTATGTGATTCAGTGGTATACATATTGTAAATTTCAGTAAGACTCTTCTCATAATTCACATCTGAGTGATTAAAATGAGAAAAGGAGGGTGGAGAGAGAGATGGGGATACAAGCATGTTCCTCAATGCTCTTTGGATTTTGTTCTTTCCTATAGGTAGGCTTTCAAGGCACTGTGGGATCCAAAATAATGCCTGTTTTCCAGCACTCAGAGAAAAAATGTTATACTGGTATAGAACTGGGCTCTGGGTTGGCAGAGAACACTGCTCTGAGTCAGACTGCCTGGGTTGCATTTGGGATCCAGTACTTACTAACCACAAGACCCAGGGCAAGTTCTTGAAGTTACTTAACCTCAGACTACTCATGTCAATAAAGCAGGAATGATGATGATGATAGCGATATTGATAATACCTGCCTCAAAGAGCTTTGTGAAGATTAAATGAGTTAATGTATATAACACTCTCCACAATGTATATAATAAGAATTCAATAAATACTATTAATAATTGTGCTACTCCTCCTTACTTAAAGATGACCAGACATATATACCTGAAAGTTGCTAAGAGAGTAGATCATAAATGTTCTTACCCCAAAAACAGAAATGGTAATTATGTGATGGGATGGAGGTGTTCGCTAATGCTATGGTGGTGATCATTTCACAATATATAAGTGTATCAAATCAACATGTTGTATACCTTAAACTTACACAATGTTATACGTCCATTATACCTCGATAACGCTGGAAATAAAATAACCATACAAACATAAGCAATCACCTAATTCAATTACTTGAGTACACTGTTTAATTAAAAAAAACAAAAACAAAAAAAAACCCAAAGCATATACCCTAGAATCAGCATCAGTTAGCATACCAGGCGGTCCAGAAACACAGACTTCAGACTGTGGCATTTTATTAAACAGACGTGGTAACTAACCATGGTACCAGCCCACAAATGTGGTGCTAAATTAAGCAACAGGGTAAGCATGCTGAATAATTACTGCAAGAAACCAGCTGAACAGTATGTATACTAGAATGAAAATTGTTGTAGGCGGGGGAAAAAAGTTAACCAATTGAAAGGGAAAAACTGGCCATTCCCACTTACTACGTCAATTTAATAACCTCATTGGGAAAGCATCTTTAATTCTTTTTAAAATCAAGATTCAGTTCTGCTAAAACTCTGAAATTCTACTGAGCCAATCTGAGGCTGTTCTATGGTTAAGAGAGTTGATTAGTAAGGCTTTGCTTTATAACAGAGATTGCAAACTGAAGACACTTAAGCTGAAACCAGATTGTAGATGTGTTTGGTTTGGCTTACAAAATGTTTTTCAAACATGTTTTCTGAGCCCATATTCTAATTCATCAGATATCATGTAAAATCAAGATTCCTACCCTCTCCTGAAACACAGGAAGCTCTGGCAGTCTTGGGCCTTTGTTCGAACATGGTGACATCAGCCATGGTTGAGTGGAGGTGGCCCCCATGGCCCGGACATTTGCTCTTCATTTCACCAATCCAAGCCCTGACACAAAAGAGGGCCTGGCTCCCTTATTTCCTTCCTGGTCCCTTGTAGCATTTAGTTCAATCCTTCCATTAAACATATTTGATTCAAGATACCTTCTTCCATGCTCTGGGGTCCCACTATGCATCTAATTGTGTGAGCATGCTAAAAGCTGCTCTAAGAAAAGTTGGTCCTTCTTGGAAGCCACCCAAAGCCCAACTCTGTGTAGGTATGGATTGATCCTTCTTCTGGAGTTTGGGCCTTAAATCTCAAAAGAGAATGCCAAGCCTCCTTCAGATCAGCAGCCCTCCTCAATCAGCAACCAGAGAGTGTTTCAGATGGAATAGGAGAATGCCACAGTGACCTGCCAGCAGGTCCAAAGGATGAACCAACCCAGTGGTCTCGTGACGGTACCTCTCTGTGAGGCTAAGCTAGCCCTGTTGTAAAGGCAGAAAACCAGATCCACAGGCTCCTTCAGATAAGTCTTCATGAAATATTTTGTATTATGTCTTCATTTTTTAATAGAGGACTGATACTTCAAACATCCACTTAAATATTTGTGTGTCAGTTGAAGATACTCTTCATTATGTTTCCTAGTGTCTCTAATAGGAAAGTCTGTGAATTAAGTTCATCTTGGAATTTTCTGCCAGGAAAAGGTTTCCAGATAAATTTTGTTGCTTTCTTTTGTCATGTGACAATAATTACATAACCTAACACGTGTTTGCTTTCCTGCCAGGAAACTCAGAACTAAATTTATGCTTATTCTGTGTGTCTAGTAATGAATACTTCTTACTCATTTCACTAACTATTGTCCTGTTTTCCTTTGTTGTTGTTGTTGAGGTCCCGTCAGATACTGAGCTTAATTTGTTGGTTTTTTTAAGTCTGCTTTGGACAAAGGGATACTACACTTCAGATCAGAACACATCAACACAGACACACACACACACACACAGAGTACATACTGCTAGATGTCCCACAGGGCTGTCTTTTAAAGCGACCTAAGGGAAAACCACAGAGTACTGACTATAGTGTCAGCTGATAGACAGACCTGTTGTCTTGTAAGAAAGCAAGTACCACTCATGGCAGCTCAGGGAAGCTCACAGTTTTAAATGGTTTGGTACATCTGGTGAGTTCATTACAATCTCAGCCTAAGAGGTGCTTCAGCTCTCACTGTAATGGAAATGTTGCCATTGTCTTTTGTTCAGAATCTCTGAACTTCTCAGATCTGTGCAGGCACCACCTGAACTGACTTCAACCTCTATTCTGGCATTAGAGATGCAGCTGTGTGGGGATCACAGCAAACTCACAAGTGCTTTGCGATGGGGCAAACCCGATGGTCGGGATCTTAAATGCTGAACTGTAAAGAACACTTTCCAGAACAACAGGTTTCAAAATAAAAGGTTTGGTCTACTTTTTATATGCAAATGAGTGTCACGTCTTTTTATATTTTTAGTCAAAGAAATTGCTGTCTTGAAAAGACAGAAATAAAATATAAAGAAATTAATCTAATTCAAGAAGTGCTATGAACAATAAAGGAAATCAAGCGATTATCCCTAGCAGGAGACAGAGTGCTGAACTGTTCAGCACTCCCTCCTCCTTTTTCTTATGAAAGAAAAGGAACAGAGAGGCAGGATTAATAATGAGTCATACATCCACTTCCCGAACAGTTTTTAACAGACACTTTCAATGTGCTCTGCAAAGAAATATAATTAACCCTTCTGTACAGAGAAGGAGAGACAGGAATTTCTAAAATGATTTGGTCAGCATCAACAGAAGCTATGGCTGTCTAGAATATTCTCTTCAAAATTCCTCTTTACATGATCTGTCTCTTCGTAGAGTTCTTGATATGCAGCTTCCAAAAGACAAGTTTGAGAATTGAATCCAAAAAGTAGGACTCTATTATATCTAGCTCAAAGAATGAACAAGATCAAAGAGAACATTTTATATTTATTTGCAGGTTTTGTCACTTTTTTAAAGGGAGGAAAAAACCCCCAATCAAACAAAATGTTTTCCTACTTTTAACTAAGTGTGAAGAAAAGATATCTAAAACTAGGTAAAATTTTACTATCATAAATACCATTGCAAGGAAAAGATTTATAAAGTACTCACTTGTATTTTGTATAACATTTACTAAAATAAACTGAAAAAGAAAAGAACTTGGACTGAAGCTTCACAGCCCCAAGGTCGGGAGTGGCTGAGAGAGGAGGGCTGCCTCGGTCCCAGGCCTTCTCGGGGAGCAGCATGGCTGGTTTTCGGTTAAGACAGGCAGTTGCAATTTAAGGGGTGCTTGAAATGTCTGATGAGCTGAAAATATGTCCCCAACTGGCTGCACACAGTCTCTGAAATTTCTAAAAATACAATTATGCTCTTGGCTGAGGCATTTTTCCCTAGAATGTGTTCTGACACAGAGCTAACAGGATGCACATGCTTTCATGAGGTACAAGCGTGGCGCACGCCTTAAGCTTAGGGCGAGCCTGGATGAAGTGTCCATCTGTG